TGCTAGGGGCTCCTGGTCTTACTACTAGGGGCAAGAACGCTACTAGGGCCTTAGGGGCAACTCGATGTCCCGATTCTCGGCTCTTCGCCAGGCGTGTATGGATGCTAGAGCTTGGCGTGCCGCACTCTTTCATTTACGTTAAGGGGCCCAGCGATTGATTGACAGCACGAAGTACACTGGTCCTTAGCAGCTCGCGCGGAGGCAAATTTGATGCAACTTACCACGATAGTGACTTTGCTTTGGTTGTCGGCGGTTGTCGGATCCACAAATGATGGGTTTGAAGGCAACTGGAGGCAATTTTGTGGAGAGTTGACTTTGGCTACACTGCTACCCCGACAGCTTCACATTGGCTTTGAAGGGGTTGTGGTTGGTTAGTGCACAAAGTGCTGTTGAAGAGAATCACATGCCCCTTTGCTTCCAATTGAGAATGGATGTATTTTGCAAGATTTTCAGTAGGGACAGGGGTGTGATGTGGTGTCACCCAGTCTTGGTTGCCCAGCCTGCTGGCCATAGCATAAACCACGGAGCAAATGTGTTTGACACCTTTGTCTCAAAGTTTTGTCCTGGTGATTTTCAATTGTGGGTTGGAATGACATAGAAAGTATTGGCCGCAAGTGGTTTGGTTCTGCAAAAACCGCATCCACGTCGAATTCTTGGACAAGAAATCACGTGCTGGCATATGAATCCAGACATGCAAGCAGTGAAGTTAGTGAATAGCATGAATATCAGACGAACTGGACTAAAAGACCACGCATATTTATTAAGGGTTCGACTGTGCGCCATTTGCACCTTAAATGCAAATCAACCAACTGCCCTCCTGTAACACCCTTCTTGAGGCAACACTGCTGAGCACCAAAATGCGATTTGCTACACACCTTTTCTGGTTTTGCTTTTGCTTGCTTTCAACAAATCCGTCATGAACTTCAAGACGTCCGCTACTAGTAACAAGTGCATCGCTTCTAATAACAAGTACTTACTAGTATTAACAAGAAGCTAGTAGAAACAAGTGCCACGCTAGTAGTAACAGGTGCCTTACTAGTAGTAACAAGAAGCTACTAGGAACAAGTGCATCGCTAGTAGTAACAAGAAGCTAGTAGTAACAAGTGCCTTACTAGTAGCAACAAGAAGCTAGTAGTTTTTGCAGCGGTGCCTTCCGACTTCGGTGCCTTCGGACTTTGTCGCAGCGCTTCTTCGTTCTGAGGCCCAGACTTGTCGCAACGCTTCGCCTCGGTGGAGGTGTGAAACCGGACGTGTGACAAATAGCAATGGCTTGCAACCTAAGAGCGATGGCCTCCAACCCCTCCAACCTACTAGCAATGGCGGCCTCCAGCCT